AGAAGAAACCTGTTGGCAAACGAGTGCTAATATATTTTGCCAGGTCGCATATCGGTTGTGAGCGGGCCCAACTAGCGGGTTTGGTGGGAATATTGTCGGATACTCTTTGCGCGCGTCTTGTTGCACAAGTTGCTTGTATCTGCTTACTGCACCAAGGGGCCCTGGCAATTCTGTCAAGAGGCAGAACAGGTTCTCCACCCACAGAAGTAAGATGCAATGTGTCCACGCAACGCGAATCAGAACCGAACTTGGCCCAACTCCCTCGAGAATTCGACCTGGTTCGCTGAGTTCCCTTTGGCCACTTTTGTGGCTTCATGGATGGGCACCCATCCGTAGGCCAAACGTGGCAGGCGTCAATTGAACACATGTGTATGGCGCAATTCAAGGGGAATCCAGTGCCAGCGAGCACTGCAATATCTCGTGGCAATCTAGGGCCGAAGTCCAACCCCAGTGTTCCTCGGGAATTGTTGGATACTTGCAAGGATGCTGCGCTCTTCGAAAAACCCGGCCTTGCCGCATGGGGCCCTCACTTTTGCAAAGCCATGTCCGAAGTGATCAATGTCGCCAAGTTCATAAGGCGATGTCTCTAGGCTGAGGGCCCCGTGAATTTAAGCCCGAGCATTTGCCGGGCGATTGGAGATTGCTTGCATCTCCGGTCCCAAGAATTCGAAGATACGTTTCTACCAGGGTTGAGCCAACTTGCTTGGACCGTGGTAGGCGCTGCTTGAACAGCCTTCCTTTTTCGTTTCCAGAGGCCACCAGGGCCTGGAAGCCAGAATACATGCCACCGGGCAATGCAAAAAAATCCCGCGCCGAACGGCGGCGGTGCCAAAGGCCGGGACTGTGCAACTTCGCCGACGCCGGGCCGTGGGCCGTGCGCTTGCTCAACGCATTTGCCAAGATTGGACAATGAAACCCCCTAGCGTGCAGCTAACGCAAGCAAACCTATCGCATGAGGAGCCTTCAAACTAATTGCCATGCTGCAACATAGTTTGAAGGAAACAGGCCATTGGGCTCGCCAGTCAAGCAAGTCACCTCCATTGCGAGTTGCCCAAAAAGGTTTGTTTACACAATGAGTATTGGTTTATCCACATTACGGCCAACAGCCCTACAACCTCTGAAAGTTTCAGTGAAGCCTCAAAAAGTTTTGAGAACCCGCCGCATGACTGACTCACGGGACCCAGTGGCATCTGGTATACTGACTAAGTATGTGTGCAACAAACGGTTAACTTGTGTGTATATATATATATATGGATGTATATGTATATGTATATTCGGCCAACATCCACTCAAGTGAGTCATGGGAGCGGGAGCGGTTGACGCGGTTCACATCGGCGAGGCTGACCTGCGTCACCACCGGCCTGGGCGCCGTGCCCTTCCTGGTGATCCAGCCGGGTCCCTTGGGCATGGGCCTCGCGGTGGCCAATGCCACTCGGCCGAGCTCAGCGGCCCGGGGTGACGTGGGCTGCCGCCTTAGGCGCCCCTTCTCGGAAGCCTGGGGGTTTTACAGGCAGGCAAACGGACGACATCGACCACCGCCGTTTTCTGGGGGGTGCCCGTTCATGTCTCGGAGGGGCAGTTTCTGGAGGACTTTTCGCCTCCTGCTTTTCCATGATAAGCCTTGATGCCGTTTGACTGTGGTCTTATTCCAGGGAATCCCATGACAACAGAGCTGTTTCAAACTTCCTTTTGGGGCTATGTGACGTGTTTTGCGGGGTACTGTGCTGAACCCAGTCTGGCCCCGGCGCGTGTTGCATGAAAGAGCTCGAAACCAACGGAACCCCTCCTTCTTTGCGGGGTGGATGGCGGTGTCTAAATGAGTTTGTTTGTTTTGAGTTGTGTTGCTGTGTTTTGTGTTGTTTGCGTCCTTGGCTGTTGGCAAATTTATCGCCTGCCTGCTTGCTTTCCTGCCCGCCTGCTTGCCTGCCTGCTTGCCTGCCTGCTTGCCTGCCTGCTTGCCTGCCTGCTTGCCTGCCTGCTTGCCTGCCTGCTTGCCTGCCTGCTTGCTTGCTTGTTGTTTTTTGGAAGTATCCTGAATAGACGGTTCCATGAAATCTTCCCCTAGATCCTGGCAAGTGTGTCGCGCTTGTGAGTCTTTGTCCTGTTGTTCCTGTCGTTTGTGTGCAGCTGAGCTATTCTGTGGGCTATGATTCGATGTGCAGGCCACAGGCGTCTCAATCGTCAAATGATATGTGCACAACCAACAGGTAGACTTGCTACTTCACAATGCGAGCGCATGCCCAGAGGAGTCCTGAAGTGGCTTTGGACTGAACCTATCCTCCAGTGGTCGTGGTTTGTCTGTGACCCACAGCTACCCAGAGGCGGATTCTCGAGGGTGTTGGTGTTTCTGGTTGGATCGCGTTGCCTCGCAAGCAAGCACGCATCACGACCTCATGAGGTTCCAGGCTGAAGCTTGGTGGGACAGAGCAAAGTTGCTGCTCAAAGATTGCTGTTCATGGACCCCGTTTGTATGAGGGCTTCCTTTTGGCTTCTCTGTGAAAACATCCGAAAGTGCGGTCTCTTTCTGAGAAACACCCGGATCTTGAACGAGCAAAAAATCGGCACAGATGTCATGCACACATCGGATTCCTCAGGCAGTGGCCGCCGGAATGATGCTGGCGGCTTCTGGCAGCATGCTGTTTGAGGCCGCGAAGCGCCTATTTCAGGGCGAGCTGGGGCGCCTGTTCCTGACCTGCTTTGGCCTGGGGCGGGCCGTCCAAGAAGCGTGGAAGGTTCTTTTCTTGGGGAACCCATATCTTTGAATTGAAGTCATTGTAGAGTTCATAGATGCTTGTGTGGGGATTGTCGCATGACCCCCCCAAGGTTGATGTCTATCAATGGTGTCCAGTTTTGGTGGGTTGTTTTTTGAGGGTGCTTTTGCGATTTGGTTGCAGAAGCTTCATAGTATACTTTGTGGATTGGACGGCCGTGCGCTGCTGAGCGCTATTGTATCCAACTTACAGGGTGGCCTTGCAATGGCTCCGCTTGCTATGGCTTTGAATCAGCATGTTAATACTACAACACATATGATGGTAAGGCGTTCTTGTTTTTGTGAAGGGAACCATCACCATTCCCAAAAGGGAAGGAGGTTTGAACCATGCCACATGTTATGAGCTGCGGTGAGATGCTTTGAGACCTGGTGCAGAGTGAAGTAGCTATTTCCCTTCCCTTCCCGTTAGAATCCAGAATCTAGGCGAAGCACCGGGCCTGGACAAGCAAGAAGGAAAGCTCTTCTGCCTTCACATGATCAGCCTCGCCTAATTAATGCTGTCCATTGTCTAGCATGCGTGAGTGATGTTAGGCATAGAAGAAGCATCGCGTTCAAACTGCAGCATTTGCCGGTGCAAATTGGGAAGTACTAACTACTAAAGATGTGCAAATATATTGTTGTAGTATGACCTCAATGTACCAGGCTGGCGATTGCACCATGCGCTGACACAGACACAGACACAGACATAGACACAGACACAGACGCAGACACACACACACACACATACACACAGACACACAGACACACAGACACTCAGACAGACAGACTGAGAGTACACAGACAGAGACAGACAGACAGAGACAGAGACAGACACAGACACAGACAGAGACAGACAGAGACAGACAGAGACAGACAGAGACAGGCAGAGACAGACAGAGACAGACAGAGACAGACAGAGACAGACAGAGACAGACAGAGACAGACAGACAGACAGACAGAAACAGACAAACAGACAGACACATGCTCTCACACACACACACACACGTGCTCACGCACACACACACACACAGACACACCACACACACACACACCGCACACACACACACACACACACACACACACACACACACACACACCACACACACCACACACACACCACACGCACGCACGCACGCACGCACGCGCACGCACACGCACACACACACACACATACATACACACACACACACACACACACACACACACACACACACACACACACACACACACACACACACACACACACACACACACACACACACACAAACACACACACACACACACCACACGCACACGCACTCACGCCACAGCACACGCCACACGCAACAACGCACACGCACACGCCACACGCACACGCACCGCAAAACACGCACACGCACACGCACAAGCACACGCCACCGCTCACGCACACTGCACACGCACACGCACACGCACACGCCACTACGCCCACGCCCACGCGCACGGCGCACACGCACCAGCACACGCACACGCGCACACACCCACACACCACATGCAACACACACACATTTGCACAACAACACTACACAACACCCACACACACACACACCACACATGCACACACACACACAACCACACCCGCCACCCCGCACCAGCACGCCCCCGACCCCGCACCGCAACCGCCACCCGCAGCAGCCACCCGCACGCGCAGCGCCGGCGCACGGCGCCCGCGCCACGCGCTCGTGCAGGTAGCACGCGCACGCGCACGGCACGCGCACGCGCTGACGCGGGGGGGGGGCACGCGCCGCGGGGGCGCACGCTTCACGCGGCATGCGCACGCGCACGCACGCCCCGCGCGCAACGCGCACACGCGCACGCGCGGCACGCGCGCTCGCACCACGCACCCGCCCCGCACCCGGCACCGCAACCGCCACACACCCGCCGCGCACGCGCACGCGCAACATGGCACGCGCACGCGCTACGCGCACGCGACACGCGCACGCGCACTGCGCACGGCGCACGCGCTACGCGCACGCACGCGCATGACGCACGCGCCCGCGCGCACGCGCGCTCGCTGCGCACGCGCGGCTACGCTGCGCACGCCGCACACGCACCCGCACCCGCACCCCGCACCCGCACCCGCACCCGCACCCCGCACCCGCCATCCCGCACCGCCCCGCGCACCAACGGCACGCGCACGCCACGTTGCACGCGCCGCGGGCACGCGCACGCGCACGCGCACGTGCCTCGCGCACGCGGCTACGCGCACGCGCACCGCGCACGCGCACGCGCACGCGCACGCGCGCGCACGCACGCGCATGCGCACGCGCACGCACGCCCGCGCGCACACGCGCACACGCACACGCACACGCACACGCACACGCACACGCACACAGACAGACAACGTTTTTGTAAGAACCACTTGTGTGTCTTACATGTCCTTTTGGTTTTCTTTTTAAAACCACCAAACCAAGGGCGCCCTCAAAAAAAGACCCCCCCCCAAAAGAGGGAACCGCTGGGAGAAACCGCTGGGAGAAAACGGGCGAAGGGGCGAAGTCCGGTAGGCCCACGAGCACTGCGGGCCTTGGGACTGGCAGATCCTCGCGGGACTGGGGGCTCCTCGCCGCAGATTTGTTTTCGTGGGTCGCGACTTTTCGTGGTCAGCGCCCGTGTTTTCGCGTGTTTTTGGTTGTTGGCTGGAGGGATTTGGTTGTTTTTTAGCGTGTTTTTGGTTGTTGGAGCGGGTGGAAGCCTTGAAAACTTTGATTTCGAGAGCTTCTTGTGGGTTGGAGGAACCGGGATTCAGTTCTTCTCGATTTTTGTTGGAGGGGATGGGAACCTGGAGAAGCTTCACAACCAAAAAGAAGAGTGCCCCTTTTTTCCCATGACCGCTGTTTGGGAATAGTTCCCGCCATCTACACAAAGGGGGATGACATGGGTGATACTCACCAAATTACTCTTTGGGAAATGGGGTACTCGCCAAATTCCCATGCTAGTTGGATGGGGGGGGGGCACTAAACATTGACCATGCCTCATAATATGGGACTGCGTCAAAAATAGGGGTTTGGATCACCAAATGGGGTTCCTTGTGGGGTACCCTCACAATACCAAAGGAATAATAGCATGATTTTATCTATAACGAGGGTTCATTGGTCAAGCAAGCATACTTTGAAGGTCATATGTTCCAAGTTCATATGTTCCAACTTTGGGAGGAATACTAAACAAAGGTTTGGTGTTTTCACGCTTTGGTCTTGGCTCGTGTGTGAATGTGTGTTTTAAACTTTGCTTGGGCGGGTGGGTGGGTGGGTGGGTGGGTGGGTGGGTGGGTGGGTGGGTGGGCTCAATGATTGAGACTGTGGGGATTCTCTATACACCAACTTTGTTTTTGGAAAATGCGCACTGTTTGTTTGCTTGCTTGCTTGTTTGGTTGTTTGTTTGTTTGTTTGTCCGTCTGTCTGTCTGCCTCTCTGTTTGTTTGCTCAATTCTCGAACTTTGCGGGCACGGGGGGGTCTTTGGCCGAGCTGAACTTTGGGGAATAATCAATATCAAAGGCAGGACGGGCTCAGTCAGAAACAGCGGAGCTAGCCGTTGGACAGCCAATTACTTTCAGCAGTTCCCTTCAAGGAGGAAATGGCTCCTGACCTCCAACAAGGTCCCAGAAAAGTAGGCGGGAAAAACCACTATGCACTATCCGTAGCTTCCCCCCCCCCCCCTCCCGCCCCCCCCCACGCAAAGCGCAGAGAGAGAGAGAGAGAGACCTGTCCTGGTTGAACTGTGGTTCAGGCCGTGGCTCAACTAGCTTAGCCGTCTCTTTCCTCCACGGATGTGAGGACATGAGCATGCATAGGTGTCCTTTTTAGTTGTTTTGGTAGAAAAATAGATGGCCCTGGTTTACCTGGTGGTTTAATCATCCACCAGGGCCATCTATTTCCCCCTAAAAGGACACCTGTGTGAGCATTTGTGCTGAGACGCCTCATGGCAACTGAAGCCGAACAGCCTTTGCCCCCCCTCGGCCATGGAAACCATCCGCCGCCTCATTCCGCAGCATCCTCCAATCCCAAAAACTATCCCTGCACTGCACCACATGACATGTGCTAAATCGGCCATACTTGCAATGGTTTCCCCAACAGGGACACCTTCCAGGAATATTTCGAGACAAATCCACGTCCCCGCTTGAGCCCCAGCCATGCTCTCGGGGTCTTCAGTCGGACCCAGTCTTTAGGCCGGCGCGCTCTTCATCCGCGCCAGCGAGCGATTGCATGGGGAGGAAGAGGAGGCGATTGGATGAGTAGCACGGAGGAAACTCATGCGCCTTGACTCGAAACGGAAACGAGCAAATGGGTTCCTTACCAAACACACACACACACACACACGTCTTCTCCGTGCTTCTATTTTTTTCCTTGAGGCTCTGGTTGCCTGCCAATCAGCAGCGCCCCGTCAAGATGCTGATGACAGTTGGGTCGTAGCAGGATTGCCATTGTAGCCAATCCGGAGTGGAGTTGCTCGTTTCACGGGGCATCCAGAAATGCATCCAGAAACGTGTTCCACTTTGAGTTGCCGTTTCCGGCTATGGCAACATCTTGAGATTGAGACCCATCCCCAAAGAACAGGCCTCCAAAACCAAGAACAGGCGGTCCAAATGGGGCATCCCCCGAACACAGAAAGATCGCACCTCCCGAACGAATCACTGCCATCTCCCAAAAGAATGACTGCCGCCTCCCCCCATGTTTCCAAGCTCCACGTGTTTCCGTTGGGATAACATCACCATCTCGGCTTTCAGTGGTTGCATTCGCGGCTCTTGAGTCATTCCCAAGGGTTCGAGTCAAGCCTTGGGGTTTCTAAGCGGTCCCTTCATCTGATTTCACAACTGCTTACCCTGAACCTGGGTGTGGTTATGAGTGTATCCTGCTTGGGGTTAGAGTTTAGAGAAACCTAGTGAATTGTTCAAGTCCACATAGAAGCCGGGGTAGTTCTGATTTCGCCAGCAAACTGCACGCGCAGTTGCTTCCTGTTTGATTTAGGGGAGGCGCTGCAGATCCAAGCATTAGCTTCGTATTGGAATGTTCAGCATATGTCAGCACGTTTATTTCAATGCGATCGCGTGGCCATTGGGGGAGCCCACTTTTTGGTAAGGGGGGCATGGTATCAAAGTGGTCGGTTGCCGGCGCATCCAACTCGACTGCCAGGAAGAGGAGGGCATTGCAGCTCTGCATGAGGCCTTGCTTGAAAGGACTGGGCTTACTTGTAGACTGCCTGCATGTCAAAAACTCCGAAGATCATGTTGTTTGTTGACCAAACCTTGCAGTTCCTTGGCCATTTGAGAAGGTTTCGAAACCCCCAAACAGTGCAAACTTTGGGCAAGAAATACGTAGAGAAACATATAGTGTGCTCCGTGGTTTGAAATTTAGGGTCAAGCCATGTCAAGCTGACTCTTTCCCCTTCTTGCTCGACAAAAGTGCCAGGCCTAGCGGTCCTGTACCGTGGTCGAAAGTGGAGGGGCCATCCAGTTTGAGAGGCAACCAACTAGGGGATGACCCTCTCCCCTCGGAATTGGCCGTTTCTGCGTGCTTCTTTGAGCGGGGCTTCTATTGCATCGCTCTCGTGGAGGGCCGATGCGAAGCACGGGCGGTGGAGAACAAGCCCAAAGCGGGTCCCCCAGGGCGGTTTTTGGGGTAGAACATCTTGACTGCTATGGGGTAGGATGTTCAGACTTTCACTTTTGGGAATTCAAGGTTTTCTACCAAACCCACAAAAAGAGAAACTTTTTGCAGAGGGCTCAACAGCAACCTTGTTATACTCACCTTGAAATGAACACGGAACGCAAAGGAGTCCCCCAAGGTTCCAGGTAAATATTTTCTTCTAGGGCGGTTTTTGGGGTAAATCTGAGGCATGCCGTCAGCAAGGGCTTGCTCGCAAGTTGCCAGGAAGCAATGGCGTAAGGCGATGCTGATCTTCACAGTCATGCCGGCGACTAAGACGGGCGAAAGGTTGGATTGGGATATACGGGGACCCCCCAAAAGGAGTGGTGTCCTTTTGGTTTCCCTTTAGAACCACCCCAAAAAAGGCAGTCCTGAAAAGCACCTTGTCCCAAATGGCTGAGTGCTAGAAGCGCCTCCCCCCAATTGGCGCATTTGTACCTGAGTGGGGGCATTGGGGTTTGGGAAGAACTAGATGTCAGGGTCAGAAAGGAGCAGGATGTGTGGGTGGGTCTGTCATTTTTGAGGGTAGCCTTTTTGGGGTTGTTTGCAAGGGAAGCCAAACGGAAACTCTTTTCTTCTTCTTTTTTTTTGGGGGGGTCCTCTATGTTAGGACACCCTTGTTGAGGTGTCCACATGGGGCTACTCCTTGCACTGTCGGCTCGGATTGAGATGTTCTTTCAGCTCCACTTCCAATGCGAAACATCTCGTGTGCCACTGCTGGGGCGGGGGGTGAGGGGGGTGAGGGGGGCGCGGGGGTGAGGGGGGGCGGGGGTGAGGGAGGGGGGGTGGGGGAGGGGGGGGGTTGGATCCTTTGAAACCTTTGTATCCTTGGCACTTTGTGCACGCTCCGTTTAAAGGGTGTGCGCCATAGCTCGCGTCGGGTAGAGAAGCATGGATACCTGCTGAATACCCAACCGCTGGTGCTTGGCCTTGTGGGCGAAGACCCAAACAAATTGGGCTGGTTTCCCCCTGATACAGGTGTGTTGTGAGACCGGCCAACATTGTGGTTTTCCTTTTGGTTCCTGTTCAAAACGCCAACACAGGTCCCTCAAAAAATGAGACACCCAAAGAAGGGTCGTGGAATATGCCGGCCAGGCTCAGAGTCCGGTGCACCCCCAAAATTCCCAAAGGATGTGTCTGAGGAGTCTGAGGCTGCTTTTCACCAAGAGTCCGTCAGTGGCCACAAGAGTGAACGATCTAATGGCGTCCATTTGTTCTAGGAGGCCCAGCCAAGCTTTGTTTCCCCTCATTTTTTGAGAGAACCGGCTCTTCAACTCGCCCCAATTGCGGCCACTTGTCGAACTCCGCGCCCCAAAAGGGCTGGAAAGTGCTTGCCTCGAGGTTCTGCCACTCAGCGGCTGAAGGCATTGCAGTTGGCGTTGCATTCAGCAGGCGGCGGCGGGGTCATGTCCTACTGGAATTTGGGTATGGATCAATACTAACCACCAGAGGACCGCAGGTTTTAGTCCTTGATTCCATTTACCCACGCAATGTTGCTTTGTTTTTGTTGAAGGGAGGCTCCCAATCGGACACGTTTCAGCTTTGGATTTTGAGCTTTCACGTTTCCCACCGGTGCTTTATGTTGGAACCAATCACTCAAACGTTTGAGAAACCTGAGCTATGAACCCCTTAGCACTTCAGCACTCACGGGGATATGCTTTTGGGAGCACGAATGGGACGGAAGTCAGCGTGCTGTTGGGCGCAGGGCCCAATAAAAGAGTTGGAGGAGCTTCTGACTAGTCCTGTGGCTGGGACAAAGGAGGTGCAGTGGCTGTTTGGCGACTTCAGCTGCATGCTGCACACATTATAAAGCAAAGTACTAGTCGTACACAACTGTTGTTGATTGCTTGACCATCCCGATCTCTGCAGAGCTGCTCCTGGATGCTCCGTTTCCAGCGCTCGCTGGAGTCCAACCGATCGCGAGTCGCTTGCCTCAGCCTGTTTCTCTGACCTCTGACATCGAGTTGGCGTGGTGAGATGGACCAAGTACGAACCAGACTCCCAAAGCTTGAGCTATCTTCTTTCGTTGGGGGGCAAAAGCTGAGGCGGGGAAGGCTCCCCTTTCCGGTTGCCGGCCGAAGAAAAAGCGCCTCCGCATGGCCCACATGGCCCACTGCAACTTGAGACGTGAGGTCTTCGACCTCAGATCGGGATGACCCCAAGCGAAAGGCTTCTGGGGGCATGCGGATTTTGCGGGGCACTTTGCCGGCAATGTCACCTGTGATGTTTCTCGGACACGGACAAAAAGAAGCGGGCTGAACGTCCAATTATGATTCCTGAGTCCGTTTTTGTCCTTTTGGTTTGCTTGAAACGGACCTCAAAGAAAGGGGGATTGGTATTGACTTCTGGACCTTGGCAGGCAGCTGAACCATGAATTTGGGGTCTACATCTCCTTGCTTCTGGCAGCCACGGCCTGAGTTTACGGGGGGTTTCCTGAATTTCCACGACTTGTTCCCGGTTTGGAGGTGGCAAAGCGGTGGGTTCACCGGAAATCAGCCGGTGGCAACTTTCGGAAGAGCAAATTTCAGCGAATTATAGTTTGAGCACCGTTCATGGCAAGCAAATGTATGCCAGACTTCAGCTTTCGTCAAATTCGGGTGGTGCATCAGAATTGTTCCTGAGAAGCGAGAGAGGGACGGACGGAGAGACGCACACAACAAAGTTGTGGAAGAAAGAGTGAGATATGCGCGGCAAGGGCCACGACGACGGAGAAAGCTTCCTTGCCTTGTTGCAACAGCTGCTTCAGAAGCTTTCCCGAAGTAAACGAATTACTGCGCTCGCGCACCGCGATATGTTGCATGTGACTGGAGGTCCGCAATGCATTCGTGGTTCTATGCTTCAACCCGGACTGCTTCCCAAAAGCGTCATGGAACTCAAAGAACCCCAGGTGAGAGACTCCAGTGGCTGTCGTGAATCTTCTAAATCCGGAAGTATCGTCGGAGATGTGATGGGGATGTCCAAGCTGCGATATCAACTTGGAATCCAAGCCTGTTGTTTCTGGGTCCCGCTTTCAGAGAGCAACTCTCAGGAATAGTCACCAGTGCTTACAAAATTGGCAAAGGGGGTAAGGAGATTGGCCACCAAGGAAGACTGATAACATGTCGCAGGGATCCCTCAAGTTCTGGAACTTTGCAAAATCAGCGCACGCAGGTCAGGAGGAATGATAGGCAGCTGCAGGAGCACGTGCATGAAGGAATACTACTTGAAAAAAGCAAGCAGACTACGACAGGACTACATCGATTTGCCATTCACCCGCACGGAATTTGCGGGAAAAAAAGCGAAAACAACAACTGACAAGGTTGCAACTGTTTCAAAGTTGGGTGCTTTTGCCCCCCCCCCCAAAAGAAAAAAACAAGAAAAAGGTTGAGACCTTTCACCGGTGCCAACCGAGGTGCACAACGTACCGGAGGGCTTGGCGGTGGCTCTGGTCTTGGTGCCCCGCCGATGCCTCGGGTTTTGCGTATTGCGAGATTTCGAGCCGCTCGTGAGAGCGTCGCTGGATCCAAATCGGGGATCTAAAGTGCACCGTGGTGTTTCTTGGTGTTGCTTTATTTTATTGACTTGTTTTGTGTGTTATTGAAATGTGTTTTGTTTTGTTGTTTGAGGCGGGCGGGTTCATGTGGTATTGGTGTTGTCTAAAGTGTGACATTTGTGGGGGTTGGTACAGCTATCAAAATAGGGCACCCAGGCCTAAAACGGGATATTTGACAAACCCCCCTTTCTTGGTGTATTTGAGTGGATGTCCCAGATGATTTGTTGGTTGGTTTTGTGCACCTGAACTTGGACACCAACACAACAAACGAGAACATCATGTTTAGAGTTTAGAGGACTGTTCCCTCTTTTGGGCTCCGATAAATATGCAGGTTAGGGTGATAGGCTCCAAGGCGCCACAAGAGTTTGTTGATCGCAACGGTTGACCGAACCGCAAGGGTTCAGATTTGGTTGTGCTATGTTCTACGTGTGTGGTTCCCAGGATGGCTTCACTTGCGATGACACACCTGTCACATGGGCCACAATCAAAGCCCGGGTAAGTGAAGGTTAGTAAGGGACGATCCCAGCCATAAATAGCTGCGGCCGCCTTCTTAGTTCTTTACATGGTTCTGGGTCGACCATTTTTGTACCGGGTTTTGATTGTGACTCAGACATGGGGAATCTCGGAGTCGGACGTTGATTGCCACGTTTTGTTTGTTAAAGGGATGTGCCGGGTTCCGGCCGGTCATTGAATTTCGGAAGATGAGCGCCCAAAAACTTCATGACCAGCTTGGATAGTAGAATGATTGGATCTTGTAAACAAGTGTCAGTACAGTTCGAACATTGAAAAGCTACGTGTGGGTCGGAAGCCATCCGCGAGCCATAAATCGATATGTGTGTATGTGATATTTCATCTGCCACAGAGATAGGCAATCGATACATGTCCACTCTATATTTAAATAGAATACATAGTATGCAATCCCCGCCTTGAGGGCGCAATCCCAGGTGGCGTCTCTGCCACTCTCACCACCTTTATCGCAATGCTGACCAGCGTGCCGCAGCCGGTTCTGGCGCGCCAGGGGGGGTCTTGGAGCGAGGGGGTTTTGATGCGAGGGGCGGACCAACCATGCATGGACTGGTGTGTTTATGGGTACCTGTTCTTGTTCAAGGTACCCTTTTTTGGGTTTGGCTTGAAGAGAAACCAAAACGAAGCCAGTCGTTTTGGGGGTCGCTTTTTTGCACCATTATTCATGGGAACCGGTTGGTTCTGACCGATGGGCTCCGATCGCCAAGAGACTGTCCTAGAACCTGTTTGGGGTCACCAAGATGTGGGGGTTGTCCCTAGAAGCAGGAGTCACACACTACACCTCACTATGTTTTTCCCCACATGCTGCAACTTTCTAGGTAGTGATTATGAAGTGAATCCGGGGGCCTAGCAGCAGGAGACACGAAAGATATGGGGTTGTGTTTTAGAGGGTACCTCTTCAAGGGTGTGCTAAAGGAACACCAGAAGAACACCAATCCCCTGTTTTGACACATACCCTTATGGGTGTGCCTAAAGATAGAGAGACCCGCACATATGGTTGGTTTCTGTTTGCTTTCAATCTACTCCAAAAGGATATCCTCAAAAGCAGTAACAGACACATTCCCATAGACCGTGACTGTTCCATAGTTCTGCGAGGCTCTTGCCGCGTTCCTGTTCGTGGAGGCGCCGGTGAAGATGATGACGCGGAGTCATGCGTGATTTGTTGGTTGGTCAGCTGGTGAGTTGCTGGATTGTGGGAAGTTGGTGGGTGTGTTGGTTGGTTGATGCGTGGGTTAGTTGCTTGATATCTTTCTTTTGACCATGGCAATCATGAGAAGCCAAGATGTCTCCAGACACTGGTTTTGCGCCAATGTTCAAGCTATTGGGTGGTCCTATCAGGGGCCAAACCAGTTTAGCAGAGGGAGAGAATATGAACATGTAGCAAGTGAGAATGGCAACCAACAATCAATACACTTCTTTTGAACATAGCAAGAGATGCCAAGAGTACGGATTGACGATAGTGTCAGCTGTGAATATGCCACTGGCCCCGCTGGGCCACTTTTTAGAATTTGCTGAATCTAGCCGCATTCAGTGGATCGGTATGTTGCAAAGGACTCTGTCCAACTCCTGAGTAATGTCCTTGGCGCAGCCAAATCATCTAATTGCAGCCACTCATGAATTGCATGCCAAAAAAGTGGTTATTTGCTCGATGTTTTCCTGGCACGAGTGTATGCCTCTCTGGATTGTGCAGCGTCTCAGCGGCAGTGACAAGAAAGATACGCGGAGCAATACTTTAGCGGGCTTGTTGGTGTTCGCTGTGTGCAGCGTGAGCTTGTGGTATTTGATGCTCGGGTCTTCGCCAAAAATTGTGGACCCCTAGATGTTTTTTGTTTTCCTTTTTTTCCGCTACATCAGCCATCCCTGTAGCTGTTTTCCCCTCTAAGCCCAAGAGATGTCCCAAGTCTGAGACACACATCTCGGATGTTCCCTGCTTCCTCCCTCCCCAGGTCTCCAGTCGACGCATTGAAAGGGCCCTTGCCGGTCCAATGGCCAGGTCTTTCAAGGCCTTTTGCCGCTGGGCCTCGCCTTCGCTGCCGGTCGCGAGCTCGGAGTGATGGATTTGCTGCAGGGCAATGGATTCGCGAGAACCGCAACATGGAAAAGCCTAAACATGGGTTTGGTGGCTTCTGGGCTGCTTGAACCACCCGTTTTTGGTTGTTGGGCGGTTTTATACTAGGAGCCGCAAGATCTACGTGTTGTTTGTGTAGATCATGGTGTTGCATGTTTAAGGTTTGCTGCATAGGGGCCAACAGCAAAGCATGTGATGCTCAGTTGCGCAACTGCTGAGATAAGTTCAGAGATTACCAAGTTCAGTCCGTAAAATCAGGTATGCTGTTTGGAGTCCTGATGCGGAATGAAGCCCTATCTCGGGTCTTGTGCTTCTTTCCCCATGGGTTTTGGGGATCTTAAATGCGAGCTCTTGATTCGGGCTGGGATGTTGATGACTGACATGCCGGAGCGATCCTCTTGATGGATTTGACTAGCTGAACAAAATTTGAGGAGGAAAAGGTCCCGGTTTCGCGACGTCGCGGCTCAAGATGAAAACTGCTCCCGTGTTCTCAGCTCAAGAGTGACCTCCCACCTGAGCCGTGATCGTTCATTTGGGAGGGCACGGAGCGGAACGTCAAACTGGAGCACCCTCTAGGAAAACCCTAAGCAAGGCGTACTTCAAGTACTTCCTTTGATTTGCAGAAGGTTTTGCTTAAGACAGCATCCCTACCTGTTGCTCAAAGATGTGTTACTCACAAAACTGTTTCACTGACGAAACATCACATCTTCAACCCGAAAAATGCTCCTTCAGTTTTCCGCACTTACTCTGGTTCCCCATTTTTGTGGACTCCCACTACACCTAACAAAGCGCCGTAATTTTTTTTGGGGGGGGGGTCCTCACGGTTTCCCCCCCCCCCCCCGAAGCCCACGCGCTGGCCCACAACTGCCGGCCGCGAGCGCCGGCCAGGCGCCATGGTCTACGTGTGTTTGCACGAGCTGCTGGTGGAGTCCGTAGAGCAACTGGGGGTGACCAAGGCCACGGTGGCCCGGGACCCAGACGGAGTCTGGGAAACTGGTCGGACGTCTGTGGAATGGGTCTGTGGGGGATGTGAAGGGGGTTGGGCTGGAGGGGGAGGGGCTGGGGAGAGGGGAGGTGGTGTGGTTGCGGTGGGGGGGTTGGATTTTTAAAAGGCAGCAACCCACTGGCCTGGCCGAGAAAACCAGGAGACATGGTTGGGGGGGGATAATCCCCCCTCCCCCCCAAAAAAATAAAAGATGGAGAATCAGTGGCAATCCCTCCCAAAGAAAATACTTCAAAAGAGGGAAAAAAGGGCCGCACGCGGGCAGCCCACGTTCAGAGCCCTTTTTCTCTCTGAAGAAAACAGCCCCCCCACACCACACCCCCTCCCCCCAGCCCCGCTCACCCCGCCCAGCCCCGCTCACCCCGCCCAGCCCCGCTTTAAACGCCCCCCAGCTCTTTTCGCAGGGACTTTCCTTTAAAGTCGACGACCGAAAATTCGACCGCTTCCTTTCTTCCCCATGGCTGTTCGGGCAGGCATCATGCATCATAAATGGCGGATCTCGAGTGTTTTTGGGTCGTTTTAAAGGAAGGCTAAAGGACGAACCGTCATTTCAGGATCCCCTATTCTATTTGAGGGTCCCATTTGTGGGGTGGTTTAATGTGGTTTCCCTCAAGGGGCCCAAAAGCGGCAAAGTCCCGCTTGGCAAGCAGGGGAGCCATGCAACGTATTGAAAACATCAAAATGGTTCTGATCGCTTGCAGTACGGGACAACTGCGTGTGTGGCATCCGAAAGGAGCCCATTTGGTCACCCAACCTTTAGCTCCCTTTCTTCTTAAAAAAAAGAAACAAACTCGACTGCATACCTCTGGGGGGTTGGGCCATTTTAGTTGGAAACAACAAGATTTGACTGGTTCCAACCAAATCTGCGCAGGAACTGAGCTGTCTCTTTTAACAAACACCCCCACAAAATACCCGTTTCCAACCCAACCAGAAGGGACGCGGATTTCCAGTGAAATTATGACACATCTTATACTATACGGTTTACCACATGAAGGACCTCTCGAATGGGGGTTTATGTTTGCCAGCTATTTCTGAGACTGATCCTCAGCAATAATCCGCTGCCATGTGGCTTCCCAAGATGGAGGAACTCAAAATGGTTCGTTCGCCATGTCTCTCCTTTGCCAAGAAATCACGACAACCAAGGCTCAGGAGAGCCGGCCACAATCCCTTTACAATACAAAGGCAAACACAACAAGAAAAGGCATCAACTTGCGGGGGGTGGGGGGTGGGGGGATGAAGCCAAATAGATCCCTTATGGGTTTTCTAGGGGCGGTCCCAACCCATACGTCATGTCAGGGCTTTCCTTGTGCTTTGATATTGTATTTTCCATGACGGTTTCTACCATCTCAGGGCCAACTTGCGTATTACAATTGGACATACCCCCAAACACCATTCCTGTTTAGGGCCTACAGGTGAGGTATGTCAATTTTGGGTATGCAAGTTGGCCCTTAGATACCAGACCTCAGTTCCCCATTCTGTACAACGGTCCATTGAATGTGGCTGCTCTTTTGTTAAACCTCAACCTGGCACCTCCCCACAGGCGAAACCGTTGAATTCCGCGCGGACTCACTCGGAGTAGAGGGAGCGTATATTGGAACTGGGGAACGCGCTCCAAAGATTTCGCTGTGCAGCACAGGTGGCCGAATAAACGAAACCGCCCGAGGGTTTGGGGGGTTTCAGCCAAAATCGAGGTCCCCGAAGATGTTTTTTTCGGTTCGTTGGGGGGGGGGTGTAGCGGGGGGGGGGGGGAGCGGGGAGCGGGGAGGAGGGGGAGGAGGAGGAGGTCAAGGTCTTGTTTGGCACATTTGGTTTGGTTTTGTTCCGGCTTCCTTTCGTGCTGGAAGCCAAAAGGATGGCAAATGCCGAAGCATGCCTGGTTTTTACATTCTCGCGGTGCTTTCAACAGAGGTTCCCAAGACCACATGCTGGCCATTTGGACTTCACATGTAACTTGCTTGAAGCTTTTCTCAGCTCAACCTTCAATAGTCCCCTGTGACTTGAAAATGGAGGACCGGATGAAGCGGAGGGAGTCGATTCCTCTTAGGGCGAAGCCTTCGGGGCGAGATCCGATGGCCTCGAAGGCTTCAACCCTCTCCTTCCTGACCATGTCCGGCTGCATCTTCGCACTCCAGCCACCAGCTCAAAGCGAATTTCGATCCCGGTCGGCATGGGGTTTGACGGCAGACGGCAAACGTGGAGAGCAAAAACAAACGGTGCAAGGGAGAGGGCATTGCAACCTGCTCGAACATGCAACAAATTCTCAGGATCTTTAAAGACGTCCTTTCACATTTGAGCCCACTCTGAGATGCCTCTCAAAGATGGTCTGGCTGCAGTTGCTACAGTCTGAGTTCGGCATTTGACACATCCTGCACCTTAGATCCACTCTTCGCATGACGGGGGTTTGGGCTTGCATGGCCCGAAGTGCACAGCCTGAGTGTCACATGGGCTTCAAGGTCCATCACTGGCGTGTGAGCAATCCAACGCAAAAAAAGCCTTGGGATCGATGGATTTGCGCCTTTCAGAAACGAAGCTGGTTGGTTGTCCTGCACCCTTTTATCCTTTGTTTGTCTCACTTCCTGAGTTCAGCGACTTTCAACTTTGTGGGAAGAGAATACATATTCCTCATACGAGAAGCATTGGAGGACTGCAGCATGTCCGCTTTGCGTTTACGCCCGCAAAAGTCGGGACCATGCGTTGCGTGAAATTGTGTTGATGATCTGCTCTTCACAAGGTGCGATCGAAGGAAATGGTTGTCACAGTGTGTTGGTCTTTCGCCCTCACCAAAGCGATATGATCATGCCTTCGCTGAGCCAGTCCAGCTAGTGGCATCACAATGTGTCTGACACAATGCAACACAACCTACGGGCAAGGGGCAAAGCACACAGTGCGCCGATCGCGTCACCTTGAAGATAATTATTGGCCAATGCATCAGTTGGTTCCTGTCTCGGCATCGGCTTGTTCCCAGAAGCCCCTTCCCATGGCTGTGAGAGGCGACAATGCTGTGGTTGCCGGGCATGCAGGCTGCATCCATCCATACCGCACGATCTGGCCGAAAACGGCCAATCCGTGCTCTGGTAAACCTGTGGCCGGCCCTGTGGACAGTCTCCTTGCCACCCTCGCCAGGCCGCATGCAACCCCTTTCCCCCTTTTGGGCGACTCAAGACTTCTTGCAAAACCCAACCTGGGCGAATTTGCGCCGCAGAATCCATGGCACCTTGGCAGGGTGCGGCAAATTTTAATGTGCTTTTGCTAGAAGTCCGTGCAGCCCAGAGAATACTGGGCGCATCAAGGGCCGTCCAAATCCTTAGATGGTGCTTCACAGCTCAATTCTAGACTCTACTAGACGATGGCTAGAATTAAAATTTACCCTTACCATTTTCACTTGTTGCCATTGCCTCTGTGGTTGTCCTTCTTCCCTTTTAGCCCGCAGGGGATCCCAGAGATGAAGCGCCTTTGTTCAACCCCCTCCTTTGGGTTCTGTGAAGCATCGCAGCTCACACGTATGCGTTCGCGAGCTTGGCCGAGGACTCCTAAGGAGGAAAAAAGGGACGGGGTAACTAGTAGAAAGGGCTCTGAATTTTACACACCAACTAGCATGGAACCTGACGTTCGGGGGTCATGCATGGTTTGGTCCATTCTCCTTTTAAAGGGACCATTTCCCGAAGGTCAGGTTCCATGTGAAAAGGTGGAAGGGTGATGGGGAACACCCTTCCAAATGGTAGGTGGACATCAATCCCAAATGATGTCTACTAAAGGGTCCCCGGTCTCCTGTTAATCTTGGTCACACCCATACGAGCAAACGGTTAATTTTCGCTCACCCGAAGCAAAGGGGATGGCATTTGGTACTCTCACCAAATTTTGGAGAGATGGAACTCCGGTGGGGCAACCGCAGGAGCTTAAGCAGCAAAACACGTAGTTTGGCGCTGAAGCGTGTCCTCTCTTAATATATAGGTGTTTCTCACAAAATCCCTGACACATGTGATTTCAGTTGTTCGGACACCCTCCCAAATTATAATTGGTTCATTGTCAGTGTCAGACGACCGTGTGGCATATGCGAGAAAGGCGTCACCTTTCACTGGCATTTGAGAAACACAGGGAGGAGTCAGCATGGCATTCAGACGAAGAAATGCGTTCAGTTTCAGAACTCGTGCAGTGCAAACGCAAAATCCAAGCGGCATCTCCAAGCCGTGGCAGACACGCTCTCCAAGCTTTGCAGGGCAGCCAGAGACCATGCTAGGCAACTCGTGACTGATACAGGCTATGGTTTATGCTTTGGCTGTGGCTAAAAATAGGTACCCAAAATGGAACCCTGGTAAATGGAATCAAAGATCAGACTAAAACCTGCGGACCCCTGGTGGCTTAATTTTGACCCACAGCCATTTCTTTTTCCGGCCGTTTGCAAGTGTTTGGTTGCACGAGCCTTCGATGTTTGCCGTTTTCGGGTGAGATGATTGAGAGAGCTGTGGGCACTCACCAAATCGCAGGCGCAGTGGCTCAAGATGGCCTTGAGCTTTGGCAGGACATTGGAGGTCTTGAAGGGGCAAAATGGTTTTATGTGCCAGGTTGCGTAGGATGTGAGTAATTTGTTGCGGCCAGGTTGGATAGGGATGTGAGTGTTTTTGTGCGCACCCTTCCCATAGTCTCGAGTAGAATCTGGCCGGGCTTCGCTTTGTGGCAAGCTGCTTTCGAGAACACGAGGGTGTAGCAATAGCTTGTTTTGCTGAAAGTGGCCTTTTGCAACTGCCTCAGCACGCAGCTTGCTTCGCCTCGCGATTGAGCCGCCCGGCGTCTCAGCCGCCAGTATATCTTGGTTCAAAACAGTCTGTGGAAGGAGCTCGTGAAGCGAAATGACGAAAGGAACAAACATCAGAACGTCAATAAAACCAATCTTATTCTGCTCAAGGGAGATCATGATGGATCTCTGTTCCACTACGAGGTCCCTCAGCCAAGAGCCCGAAGTGCGTACGCTCAGCTTGCATTGCCTTCCTATCCTTCCTCAGACTTGTGTTTTCCTCGTCCAACCCGTTTCAGTTGGTATAAAGGGAAACCGAAGAATACAAAGCAATTTAGGGGACCCCGATTTTAGAAACACTGATGGTTTGTGGTCAGGGCATTCTGTTGACAACAGGCACATCTTGATTTCACAGTCCATTGCGAATTCTGATCAAGTTCACACCCATAGTATTCAGAGAACAGTCTTGCGCGGACGGGCAAACTGAGGTCGGCCGATGGCATTAAGGACTGGGGCCAAGTCAACTCGGAACTTTCAGAGTGAAGCCTCTCAAATTTAAACGGTGAGTGGACATAAATCCCCGTGCTTCATGGACATGATGCCTGCCAAAACAAGTCACACACACACACACGCACGCACACGCGGAGGTGTCAGATGGCGCAAAAAAATACAAAATAGTTGTGGAGTTTCCGGATCCTACTGGCCGCGATTTGTGTTGGACAGGGCGGGCCGGCAGCTGGGCCTCCAGATTCCTTTGCTTAGTTGCAAAAACCAACGGTGAGGATTGATGCCAGTTAGTGACAACAAGCAACACTTATTGGTGGTTGTCTAATTGAGGGGTCCACGCCTTTGAACTCCCATATGCCAGTTTTGGTGGGATCCAATAGTGGACCATGTCGGGCACTAACCAGAAATGAAGGTCTGAGCCTGTCATAGCTTTGTGGTAAACCTTGCATGAATACGGCAACTCTTGATCTGACTGCTGTATCTAAACAAATTGGTTTGGATGTGTGTTTGATGTTGGTGCCTTTCTAGTCCTTTGTTAGTACATCCTACAGGGTCCACAAAAGATCCCTAGGAAGTATGAGCATTATGAGCATGAGGTGAAGACTCGAACAAATATGCAAGCTGATGGGGTGTACACGAGCTCACCATGAAGATCATGTATTAGGGGATCCAACTTCTTGCACCAGGCCGATAGACGTGGGGGGCTGAAAAAAGCTAGGGGCAGAGATCCCCCCAAAAATTTGCAGCGCGCTTTTCACCTTCGCTGCGGGATGATGGCTGATGATTCCAGTGCAGGCGGGGTAGGGACGATGCTGACATTTGATGATGCTGGCGCTGCATGTTGCTGTTGCAGCGGATGCTGGTGCTGAGGATCCCGTTGCTGGTGATGCTGAGGATCCCATTCATGGACACAAGATCAACATGCTTTCTGTTTATTCAGGACGGGGTTGAGGAGCTTAAGTTGGGCTTGAGGTGGGGGCAACACACCTGAGGAGAGCAGCTGCCCTGCTGGCTGCTCGGCAATGTCCGGATGCTGCCCATTGTTGTGGGAGGGGGGCCTTAGACTAGGGGACCTCGAAATGGTGTTCACACCACCCGAAAAACGGGCACCCTCAGCAAACATACGCCCATATCTTTGGCCTAGGTTGAAACTTGAACATGCGAGATAATAATGAGCCCTGCTTAATCCCCACTTCATTACGAAAGGGGTTTTTCTAGAAAGAAACCTTTTTCTTTGGACCCCTACCAGCATGGGCTGTGGGAAGGTGCGAGCTTTGAACAGCAGAGGTCTGGGTCTGTTCAGATTGGGTGCATCGAATGAACCGTGGGGTGACAAGTGTGCAGTGAAGCACGTGTAAGCCGCACTTGCGCAAGGTGGTGCTTCCCGAAAAGGCTAAACGCATGAAAAGATCTTCACCTTCACGTCCAGAGCGGTGAATGTCAGAGCCAAGAAAGACACGAACAGCGCAAACCAACGGCCAACCCGGAAAAAGGCTCCTGAAGAGGACCCTCGGGTTTTGGTTTTTGCCTCCTGGGCGGTCGGGCAGCGTTTGGTTTTTGCCCCGATGGATCGCTCGCCGAGGCCTTGCTGGGCCCTGTGGCCTTCTTGCAGGCGCGGAGCCTGGGTACCCCACCAACATGGCACCTGACAGGGGTCACTTCAAAAGGATTTGTTTTTCTCCAAGTAACTCCCAAGCGCCATGTTAGTTGGAGAGAGGGTACCATTTTTGTGGGTCAGTTCCTGGCCGGGTTCCTGCGTTGCCTCTTTTTTTTTGTGTGTGTGTGTGTGTGTGTGTTTGAGATGGTTTGGTGTTGGGTGTCCATATAACCCACTAAAAGTGAAACCCCTTTTTTCCAAGGGAGCTGAGGACAGCCTAGATTTGTTGATGTTGGTCACCAGGTTTGGTGTCGGTTCAGTTGGTCAACAGGTTTGGTGGCGGATTCTCAGGCCACACCTGGTATCTTCGGGCCCCGAGTGTCACTGTTCTTGCGTACCATGCCTCAAACGCGGCAAGCTCTCAGGCAGACTCCGTGGACGAAGGAAATCGCAACCTCACAAAAGGGTTTGGCAACTTCTTTCACCCCGGTCCTGTCATAGGGGTCCCTTATGTCAACTTATTTCAGATTGAATCAGCATGGTATGCGCAGAGTCCTAGGCAAACAGGTGTCTCCAGATATGGATGCCAAGACGTGTAAAAATCAATAGTTGTTCCTTTGGGTTTACCCTAAGCCCTGAACGGGCACCCGCGCAAACAGACACCCATTTCATGTCAGTCGTCGCAGGTCGGTACGCCGCGGCCGCTCAGCTATAAAAGATGCGGAGACCAGTAGTTTGCTACCCAGACAAAAGCTTGTAGCAATCCAGACTGTCGTTGTTTACTTCCAGGTTTGTTGGGATATAATCGAGAGTTGTGGGGCTTGAAACAGCTTGACCACCTTCCAAGCAAGGCATGTCAATCATGGCATTTGAGACAGTGCAGACTCGCAGACAAGTGACTAGTGGCACAATCTCGCAGCAAGCCCAGGCTTGCGAAGCTATCGCGACGTGCTTCAGTGAGCGATGCCGAGAAGAAGTTGGTTTTAGTGGCGTGGTAGCACTGAAATGGGTACGGGTTCTGTGTGACCAATGCTTGGCCGACTGTCAAGGATGCAAGTGAGCAGGAGATGCATGGCCGTTTTACCACGACCTACCGGCAAGTGAGCAGATCAGAGGATTCCAAGCCCTAGCCAGTTGAAAGTGTAGCCCACGAGCTGTGTGTCGTTGGAAGCCGGTTTGTATTTCTTTGGCAGTTGGCGCTGGCTCCTTTCATGGGCGCTGTTTGGCCGGCCTGGGGGTCGTGGCAGGGATCCGTTACGTTGGTTTTGTTTTGTTTAAATGCGCCAAAAGGATTGACGATGAACTGCGTGGCGCAACAGATTTATCCGAAGTTGACCTCACATCTCTTCATCTTGCGAGAAACTAAAAGTGAAGAAACAACAGTAGCAGGCATGTTGTGTTAAGGACTAACAATATCAGGATATGTGCGTCATGTGTTAGGTAAATATTGTTTGCAGCTGACTTCAAGGTGGGACACCCAGTGACTTTAGAACTTGCATGACAGCTTCCAGCAAGGCGCACACTCAACTCTCCTTTCACATGCAGAGCTGTTTGTCTTTCTGACGAGTTGGTAAGTCTCAAGAGGCAGTGACCGATGCCATAGTCGGGTTGCTAAGCAGTCCGGGCCCAGTGGGTGTGTCTTATTTTGGTCGATGGTAGCCTTTTTTGGGGTTGGTTTAAAGGGAAACCACAGGGAAGCCAACCATTTTTCCCCCTTTTTTTGGGGGTCTCCCCGTTTTAAGACACACCCAAGTGACAGACTGTAGGGCCTGGATCCGGGCTGATCGTGCTAGCTTCGAAGGCATAGCCCAACTCTACCTGCCTTGCCTGGGGAGTGCTGTGTGGTCTTATTGCGTTTTCAGTGGGCCTATTGGGCCGTTTATCAGTTTTCTCTGCTGCGACGGTGTTCCTTTGTTTTTTTTTATTGTCTTGTTTTTTTTGTGTGACTGGCGTTCCAAAAACTCTCCTCTCATTTTCGGACATACTTTTGGGAATATGAGTATCTTTGTTTTGCGTTTTTTGTGTGACTGGCTTTCTAGGGGCTCGCGCCTGTGGTTTTTGGACATTTGGGAATATGAGTTTGATTCTAAGGCATCAAAGGTCCGGCTTTGTCTGACCAATCCACTGGGGAAGTGAGCTGAAGAGTGTGATACAGATTGGTAGAGCAACATGTCAATTCTTTGCTGCCACAGGACACGAGCTGTTGAGAATTAGTCCCACTGCCACCATACTGCTTCTATTCCCCAATGAGCTGCTTTAAAAGAAGCACCAATCCACTTCACTCCCTTTCACTTCTCGACCAGTCAGCAAGACCTCTTCTCGTTGACTGAGCCCTTGGCCTAGGAATCGACGAGAGGAAGATCCAAGAAATCCTGAACAAAGACTTCTTCGGGCCGGCGCCCCGAGTCATGCGCCGACCGAGCATGGAGTGGCTGGCTACTAACAGAGTTAGGCTGCCTCTGAAGTTGTGCTGCACCCGTGAGATATTGGATGCCGCTAACTAGCTACATGTTGGGTTTTCTCTGGACATGCCCCCAATGTTGTCGCCGTCTCTCTTTTGTTCACTTGCACCCTTCAAAAGCAAATATGGATGCCCACCGACCAAACAGAAATGACGTCGACATTTTTCCCAAAGCTTCCTTGAGCTCCCACTCAACTCACTAAATTCCCATGTCCAACCATTACTTTGGTCTCCTCCAAAACTATGTTATATCTCAGGGTAGACGAAATGTATCTGGATATTAAAGTTTTTAACACCGCACTTGTTGTTGGTGTTTCGTGGGGTTGAAGAAAAGGATCACGCAGGACTTTCTCTCCGCCCGATCCGATCTGCTCAGATTTTGTTGCATCGATGGATTCGGTTTTTGGAGGATGGTGGAGGCGGTGAAGTTCGGGCAGCAGCACGGCTCCGGGCTCAACGCCAAGGACCAGAGCTCACCAAAGCGGTCCCGGACGGACATGGATCGATGCGGATTTGTTCAGAGTGGGAACCACCAAAGGTGCTTGGTGTACGGGGAAAAAGGAACCCAGCGAATCCACTTCGAGTGGGTGCCCTCGTTGTTTTCCACTTTTACATGGATGGCGAAGCGGCAGAGCTACAAGATCCATGTCCTGTCCGGTCAATTTGGCGCATGGGCTCCGCTGGTTTCCGCTTGGTTCGAGTCTTTCACCAGCGCCATCTGGAGCAAGATCTGTAAGATATGGGCGCGTCTTTTGCGGGTACTCTTTTTGGGGCTGCTTTCAAGAGACACCAAATGGAACCGGCCGGATTGTGGGTTTGGGTTCCCCACAATTTGTCTCAAAATGGGGAACCCCAACAAAAATGGCTGGGTTGTCCTTCTGGTTTCCCTTAAAACCGATCCGAGCAGGTGGCCAGCGCAACAAAAATCGCAGGGTTGTCCTTTTGGTTTTCCAGAAAGCCACTCCGAAAAGGGTACCCTCAAAAACCACCAGCCCCTAAGACATACCTCTCACTTGGCTTAGTCGGCTCCTCTCACCTGCCTCAGGACTGGCAGCAGGCGGACGTGGTGCTGATAGGCGCGCTGATCGGCTGAGACGGGTGGTGTGTGTTTCTTGAGATCGGTAGCTTCAGGTGAGCCACGTCCTCAAAGCCGATTCGGGTACATGCAGGTTAGTATCGGATATTCCTCTTGCATCTCTTGCCATAACTGGGTGCGGATGTCCGCCTTTTTAATTCTGTACATGATTTCAGGGATTACGATTTCAATACCAAGTTTTGATTATGACTCAGGTAGCCAACAATTGCTGCTGGTCCTCAGGGAATGAGTTGGAATGACCCCGAAAAATAACCAGCCCCTATGGTTTGCTGAATCCCCTTCCGGTTCATTCCCAAACGGAAGGTCGCTCTACTAGTTGATGGCTTGGATTGGTTTGGATTGGTTTAGAATTGGATTTAAACCACTTTGTTAGGGATACATGGCTAAACCATAAGCTCCAAACCATCAATCACTTGAGTTACTGGACCTTTTGTCTGGCCCCGCTCGGGAAGCCAAGGGGGTGAATTCATGTGGGCGGAAGGTTAAGCATGTGATCACATCTAGGGGAGCATGCGTATTTGTGAACTTGCTGAGTAAAGGAACCGTTGCCGCAAAACTTTCAGCTTGGTTGAGAAAAGATGGGTTCCACTGGCTTCAGCTTCTACTCCTTTTCCAGTGCCAGATGATCCATTTCAGGACGCCTAGGCTTACCACAATCCACGGGCGCGCCAGGCCCTGACCGAGTTGGCAAGGGCCTGGCACTCTGAGAGAGAGAGAGAGATGACCGAGGGGCGGTTTGTGGAACGCATTTGAGTATCAGCCTGGGGTTCCACGTACCAGGGTTCCATTTCGGGGTCACCTGTGTGTTTGTAACCAGTGTTTGTGCCGCTGTTTCTGCGTAGCCATTGAGCCAATTGAGCATGTGCGTGTGTGTCGAAGTAGGGACCAAACACACGGTTTACTGTTGATCCATGATCCTTTTGGTGTGTGTTGAAGCCATCAAGTGGGTTCCACACGCGGTTTTGAACTGTTACTGTCATCCACGCAGATCCGCAGAAGACCACATTGGCTTGTGAAGGGATCTGGTCTTGTCCTTTCTCCCAACTCACTTCCAGAATTGTCGGAGGAGCAGAGGTATGGGAGGAGCAGGGAAGAGGAGTAGGGATGAATTGAGTACCAAGTTAAGCTACTACCCTGCTTGCTTGGCGGCCCATGGTGCAAATGCCAAAAGGGAGCTTTGCGTATGTTCGACTTCGTGACAATCGTGTAAGGTCATGTTCTGGGTAGGCGTGTATTGTATGCAATTGAGTGCAATCAGCTGGGGATATCACATGGGCTTGTTTTGAAAGGGCCAGTACTAGATGCGTTGAAGTGTCAGAAACATCTCCGATTGCTGCTCTAGGACAAACACTTTGAGAAAGCTGTTGTGGAGTTTGTGGGCACCTTGCGGAAGTCATGGCTAGAGGACCTGAGAGTAAAGGCCGCTCCGAGGCGCCCGAGATCGTGTTTGAGGCCAAGCAAGTTGCAAGTGTACACTCCCATGTTGCCGTGTGCGCCAGTTGTGTTTTTATTTTCACTGGTGCGCATTTCTGAGGCCCTGTAACTTTGCAGCTCGCCTTACGTGGCCTCAAGGTGCGACTTTTCTCACTAACACGACAGCTGGCTTCAATTGGGTGGGTTTCAGGTGGGTTTGCAAGAATGGTTACTTGTTCCTCTTGAAAACAACGGTTGTATTCTCTGCTCAACTGGATTGTTACAAATTAGTTCTTACTGCGTTTGCCAGATGGCACTACTGATTGCGGATCAAGCCCCCCTTTGAGAAACAACCCAGCACCCCTTATTATGTTTGGCAGGTTTGCCTTTCAAATCAAGCCAAAGGCTTCCTTTTTTTCCCATGAAAGGTCCACTGGACTGCAGGCTGTAGGTGGAAGTTGAGGTCTGACTTGGCCCTCTAAGAAAATTCTGAATGGCCATCACGAGATGGGCAAGGATGATTTGTTCAAAACGTCCAGTCGTCTATGGTCAGTGTATGGTCCATTGTGGGGTATGGGGGAACTCACTACGGGACTCTCTCATTGTCCGATTTCCTTTTGGTGAAGCAAGTAATCTTGCAAGGGGGGCAAAGAAAGCCCTGTAGTCTTGTAACGATTTGTCCCCCGCCCCCCTGTTGATCGTTGTAAGAGTGCGTGGCTGACTTGCCTGTTCAGCTTTGCTACACATCATTTACGTCACGGAAATGATTAGTCAACAAGCCAGGAGAAATAAACGGCTTTGTTGACCTCATTCATTCAGAAGAGCACTTTTCCTGGGATGTGCAAGCTTAGAGCGCGGAGCGCGTGTGAGCACGCGCCTCACAGTCATAGCCATATCATGCAGTCATGCCCCAACAGCAGCCACGCCCCAACTCAACAGTAACAACAAGACATGCTGGATCACGTGATTGCATGCTCAGAGGAGGATGGGTAATGTCAGCCTGAACAAGCATGATTGCAGCCATTTCTGGCCCCGGAGAATTCACTTTGCTTGCATGCCGACCCGCATGTAGAAGTTGGCCGTACTTTGGCGTTGTGACAAAGGCGAACATTTGTAAAGGAATGGCCCATCCTTGTTGCTCTTGGCATGACACGTGCGGCTTGATGTGGCTTGAGGTGTGCAAGTTTTCTTTGGACAATGGTATTTTGCTGGTTTGCAGGGATGTCTAAAAACGAGGAAGGATGGTTAGGGCTCATGTTCAGTTCTCTCGGCCGATTGAAGCATGCAAGCTCGTGTGTATGTGTGTGTGTGTGTGTGTGTGTGTCTTTTTTAAGGTTCGACCCCCCCAAATCCTGTTGGGGTCCCTGTAAACTTTAAAACCCACAAACACGGTACCCCCTCCAAAAAAAACCACCCATGTAGCTCTAGACAAGCACGCTCATGTCCCCGGTTTTTCGTTCGAAGAGGGAAGGTCTCAAAATATGGAAGTGGACTTTCAACATGGGCGGGTTCCTTTTGGTTTCCCTTTACAACCATCCTAAAAAGCGGTAACCTCGAAAAGCACACACACACACACATGCACGCGCCCAAACCTCCAGCGGATTGGTTCGCCCCACTCGGCCGCCTCCGGTAATTACAGTTCCTGCCATGCGACGGCTCTTGCCCGCTTTGGGCCTTTGGCTGGGCATCCGTGGCTGCGCCTTTTCGCCACGCGGCTCGCTCGCACCGGAGGTGGCGGCTCTCACTGTTTATGTGCTTTTATTGTTACTGTTATATTTATTGTGTTATTTGTGGTTTAGTTGTTTATGTTTTATATATGGGGGGTGATGGCTGATGGGTATATTACACAAATGGCTGACTGACATGTCCGCAAGATGGCTCAGTTATATGTTTATGTTTTGTTTTGTTTTTGGAGGGGGGGAGCGGGGCGAATGGGCATCGAAGACGCTTTGCTTGAGGTTTGTACTTGGGGGAGTGGGTGACAAAACAAAAAAGGGCTTGATGGTCCGATTTCCCCAACAGAATCTGGAAAGTGGAAACATTGTCGGGCTGTGGCAGGGGAGTCGATTCCCACCCACTCTGGGCTGCCACTACTCGTTGACCAGCCTCGCGCTGCTTAGACTTGCCTTTTCGACGTTCGGAAAACAATTGCATCTTGCCCGACGCATGCTTTTCCGACTGCCTAGAATTGCAACTTGGTTCAAAAGTGTGAGGGGGGGGGGGGACGATACCTACGAAGAGGACTTGTCTGGAGCATGGGTAAACAATATTGTTGATTGTCGTGTGTCCACAATCTTAATTGCGTGGTTTGTGTTTGTTTGTTTTTGTGCTGGGGAGCGGATCGGTCCCAGTTGTTCAGTGGATCGCCAAGCCACATAAGTGGGCCCTTTTTCCACCAGGGTCACTGGGCAACTAAAGGGTTGAACCCGTTGATTGACATGTCCGCAAAGCGTTGAACCAGGGATCCCTCCACTGAATGCCCCAACAAAACGTGTGGGGAAGCTACTATTTGGAAGGGGTGCGCCACTTCGACACTCAGCCAACCGCGACCTGAAACACGCTTATTGGTGGACTTCCTCTTTACTGGCAGTGTCAATTGCCCTTCTGGCTTGTCTTGTGTTTTGTTGAAACCCTAAACCCCTAAACCCCCCCAAACCCCCAAACCCCCAAACCCCCAAACCCCCAAACCCCTAAACCCATAAACCCTAAACGCGTGTTCTTGCAGTTTTCGCTAAAACCGGGCCCGGGCTTTTGCCCTTTTGGATCGACGCGAAGACGAGCGTCGGATCGATTCAAGGCGTGGAGCAGCTGCTGCAGCTGCGAGTGCGGCTCCGCCGTCTGCGGCGCTTCGAGGCGGCGGACCGCGTGCTTCACCGTGTGGCGCCGCAGCTGGCGCCAGGGCCGCCGACGGGGGGAGGGGAGGGGAGGGGAGAGGAGGGGAGGGGAGGGGAGGGGGGGGAGGGGAGGGGAGAGGCAAGGCATGGGGGAAAGGAAGGGGGAGGGCGAGAGGAGGGGAGGTGTTGCTCAGAATGGCTGGCATTTTAATGAAATCGAGCGGAATCCCCAAACAATGTCCAACGGGTCCTGTATTGAAGTCATGCCTACACAAGTTGAGTGGAAGCCAAATGGAGATCAACCGCCTGAAGGGAACCCCAAGTTTTGAAAAACGCTCAGAGGCGGGGGGTGGCAGATGTTGTTGGAACAAAGGCCCGGGTTTGCTTTAAAGGAAATTCGTCTTCAAAGGGGCGGTGACTGGTTTCGACATCTAGGTCCCTCGTTTCCAAAAACTGCCACGGCCCACTGCAAAGCGAGAAGGGGTCCAAAATGAGCACGATCGTGGGAACCGGCCTTGTCAGCTTGGAAAAACACACGTAGCTGAACAAGAACGAGAACAACAACGTTAGCGGATACGAAAAGACGCTTCCAGGCCAGCAGGTGAATCAGGAGAATCCCCGGCCGCCACGCAGGGCACCTGGGTCTTCGGTTTTTTTGTGTCCCTGCGAACTCCAGGCAAAATGCGCTGGAAAGTGCTGATGTTGTTCATTGCGAGCAGAAACATAGAGCTTCCAAGCAGCAAAGCAAGTCCCATGCAGGGTTATTTCTATGTATGGCACGAAGTCTTCCTGAACTTCCAATGCTTGGTCACTTTTTTACAGAGGCCGGAGATCATTCTGAAGGAGCGAGCAAAAGAAACCCCGTAACGAAAAAGTGGCCTTGAGCCGATATTTCAGGAGACATCCGCCATTGCAAAGAGAATCCGCTTGTTGCGTTGGCCAGCTTGCATACGCCGACTGTTGGACTGAAGAACAGATTACACCAAGCCGGGGCATGCCTGCGAAAGCACGCATGTAGCGAAAGGGCCATGTCCTGCAACCCTGAAGAACTAGAACGCAATGCGAAGATGCAAGTCGACTTCAAGCCCTAAGTAGGATCAGGTGAGATCCCCCGCGGCTGAGACTTCTGCAAGCCAAGGAGCGCCAGGGTCTCTTTGTGGAAGATGCCAAGGAGCGGGCTCAGCGGTATGTATGTGGTGATCAGGGGGTCACCCGGTGGGGTGTCAACTGCAATTGGATCTCCTTTGGAGTCGTGCTTTCTGGGAGTCAGGAGGAGAACCGCACATTTTGCGGAGTCCACAGATGTCGATCAATCCAGCTGAGCGTCGTTGTTTGCGTGATGAAGATCCTTGTGAGTGCATGCTGGCTATGCATGACACTTTCAGAGTTAGAATTTGTAACTTAAGAGAGGTGAGTTCAGGCAATCTCGAGGCTCGGCTTGATCATTTGTTGATGCTTGCAGTGTGTGGGTTTGTGTGTTTTAGTTTGCTTCTGTTGAAGCCAGTTGCAAAGCACACCATGTCCCATCCTCTTCGGTCCTTTGCTTTGGGGGTAAGGTCAACCATGGTGAAAAGACCGAGGCATTCCTTCAAGCACGATAAGATGTCCACTTGTTCACGTGGAGAGAAAGCGAAGTGGTCCATTGGTTTGACCGGGGCGAGATGCCATGTGCTCCATGAGCCTGTCAATTGCCCATGCGGATTTCGCACTTGGGAGGCACCTCTTTCGCAGATAGTCGCTTCGTTTCTCACTCCTCCAAAACAATGCATGATATATTTGAGCTTTTCATGTGCTCAGCCCTCCCGAAGAACAGAACAAATCACCACCCTCAGCGTGAGTGGCGGGGGTAGGTTTTAAGGGAAATCGAATCGGACCTAGCTGCAAAATGGCAAAGAGATCAGCCCGGGATTGGTGTCTGTATTTACGAACTGGTTGAAACGTGTTGAACCCCCATATCCTTTCTTTTAGCCCTTCAGAACGACGGCGCACTGCTTGCTGTGCAGTTCAGCGGAGAAGGCCCCCTTGCTTGCGAGTGCGCCGGACGCAACTTTGATCTCTAGTACCAAAGCGTGGGGTCGCAATGGGAACGTCTTGGTCGGGATAGCCGTGTGCTTGGATGGGTGAGGCCGGCAGGGCCGGCGCTGCACCTAGGCCATTGCGCGCTCTTGCGCGCACGCGTGCCCTTTCAACCTGCCTTTGGGAGCCAAGTCAATCCTCCTTTGGCACTCAGCCTAGCCCTGAAGGCAAAGACGCTTCATGGGGAAGCCAATCCGAGCCAATCTGCAGGGACGCCCAGTTTCCACAACCACATTCAGGGGAGAAGCC